ACACAAACACTTTTTAATATAAAAAAATAACAAATAACATTCAAGCATCAAAATCATGCATGAGGTAATAAATCTAAAAACTACCATCTTAAAACAGATTACATATTCATGTAATATGGATTCAAAATTGAACCTTCTAAACTTGTTATGTCCATGAATTGACCTAGGACAACCAAGAAGAACATTCTTGTTTAAACATGCATTGCTTAAATTAAACAACACTATATATATATATATATATATATATAAACAACTTAAACAATAACATTATTATATCAAAAACATCAGAAAGCTTTAATAAATAAAAAATACCATTTAAGAGGTGAATACAATATCATTTGTTGAATATTCTAAACCTTTTTTCTATGTTTATAAATATAAATATAAAACAAAAACAAACAAAAATACCTCAAGCAGGCCACAAGGACTTATTTTTGGATAAAAAATTATACTTAGAAGAACTACTCTTTATTTTGTTTTTCTTTGGAAAGTTTTGTCTGTCATCAACTTACTATCCTTTCAATGTTTGAGAAATCTTTTATGTTATGCTCCTAAACCTTTACATTTAGGTTTTTTATAAATATTTTCGTACCTTTTTTCTTCCTTATCTTTTTTTTTTCTTTTTGCTTTTTTTAAGAGGATATTTACAAGATTTTTGAAGGTCTTAAATCCATTTTTAACCTCTTGATCTTGAGATAAATTTTGTCAACCCTTAATAAGAACTCATAAAGGAGCCTTTGTGTATAAACACACCAAAATAAAGTTAACTTTTGCACAATTGTGTTTCAGTCATTACTGACTGAGTTGCCTATCTTTGAGGACTTATTGGAGAAATTCTAATGTCATCATCACCTAAAACCATTTGAAGTTGGTAAAGAAGATTCACACCTTTCTTTTGAATCCAACCTTATGCAATTTCAAGGTTTACAACTTCACATTCATTTATTTGAAGTTGCTAACTCGATCAGCCAAAATTATCAAAATAAAGATCATTCTACTGAATGATGTGTCACTCACATTCTCTTCATTAAATCAGAACAATGCATTGTTTAAGGTTTTTATTTGGGATTGAAAATTTTTAATTAAGTATAGTTCTCTTAATTTCTTTTAATTTCATTTATAATTGCCTCTAAACTTTTAATTTCATGTAATTATAACCTTGCCAAACTCAATTGTTAGCCCATAAGTTAACCATCTTTTTCATTTTGGTTTTTGGTTTTGTATTAATGCATTTTGACTCTTAATTGACCAATAAACTTCTTATTTCTTCAATTTGGATCTTAATTTGATCAATTTCAACCCCTACATTCACACATTTTTTTCTAGTGTGGTTCTTAGTTTTAGATTTCCTCAATCAATTCTCTAATTGCCTATCAAACTTTAATATTTATGCAATTAAACATTTAATTTGATTTCTTTGAATTATATTCTAAATTGACTTCAAAAATAAGTTTTTCTTATAATTAAACCTTGAAAAATTCCAATTGAGCTCTTAAACATCCAAAATTAAATTTCCCTCCTCAAATTAAATTTTCTTTACCAATAGAGCCTTTATTACTTGAAAATACATTGTTAAATTTTTTAATCTTATATATTTTGATCTTTCCCTACCAGTCTTTAATAATTTTCTGAGCATTTTGGTATATTTTTTTTATTTTTTTTTATGCGGGGCTCCAAAAATAAATAACAATAAATTTCATAATAAAAAGGCCATAATCTTCTTCAAAATAATGACATTGTTTTTTTAAGTCGCAGAATGTTTTTTATTAAAAAGAAGTCAGAATTAACATAGGAATTTGTTAAAAGATTTCAATCATTAGAGATTGATAAAAAAAAAGAAGATAGAAAATGTATCTTTTCAATCTAAACTCCATTTACTTTCTAATGCATCATTTTATTATTTTAACAAAAGCATGTCATAAGAATTATTTTTTAAATAAAAATTCATCATGATTTCAAAAGCAAGTTTGTAAAGAGTTTATTAGGTTCTTAAATATTTTTAGAGTGGCTAGGGTCAAAATGAATTAAAAATTAAGTTTTTAAAAACAAAAACTAAAAACCTAACTTTCTAGCCATGGGAGGTGGCCGGAAAATAAATTAAATGAGGACACACTGTTTAATAAATAAAACAATTGGGTACAAAAAATGTATCATTTGTTTTGTAGAAGGAAAAAAAAAACAATTAAGCACATTTCTTTTTCTTAGGTGTCCTTTTTTTATTTCTTGTCAAAAAATCTCTTTGAATTCATATTTCGACAATATTTAAGTTCTTGTATAATTATGCCATTATTTTTAAGAATTTTAAGGTCTTCTGTGATGATATTATAGATTGTTTTATAAGTAATTATGCATTTAGCCTAATATATAAAAATTTTAAAATAATTTACTTAGTCATATTGAATGAGAATAAAATATTTATTTGTGTATAATTCTCTCAAATTTATTGTTCTTATTTTTTTTTTCATATAGGTGAGCAAAAATGATTGATTCTTGACTTTAATTTTTTAATCCAAATTTTCTTTCATTATCATAATAAATTTTTGTTTAAAAAATAATATTTCTCATTAAAAAAATATGTTTATCATTCAAATACATAAAAATTCATGAATGAAAAAATTATGTTTTTTAATTTAAAAAATATGCCTTTTCTTTTTTGGCTCGGACCATTATAGTTTTCTGAATATGCTTTCATGATTGCTATTACTTTTTATCAAACGAACTATACTTCTAAGCCACACAACCACATCTCTTATATTTCAGACTCAAAACAGAAAAAAGAATTCTTCTCAATAACACATTCTTGGCCATTAACTCCTGCAGAACACGATAATGCCATGCCTCCCAGCCAAGATTATCTGCAATTACAACATGCTCAATTAAGAAAGAAATATGTGGGATTTCGATCTTTCATTTACGTACGGTTCACTACAAGGATTCTAGAAAAACTAATAGGCAGAAAACAGCCACTGTTACATATAATGGATCAAACATCAATAAGCTTTATTGCCATTGACAAAGCGAAAGCTTAACCTCATTGGAAAGCAAAATCATGAGCTAAATCAGAGCTCTTTAGAGACAAAATGGAGCTCATAATTTCATTGCAACTCCCAAACCGGCTCCCCTGGCTAATTGTATCGTAAAGACTAAAAAGGAATAGAGCTACGAAAGCTACATACTGTTGCAGTGTGAACAAAACAAAGTTGATCCGCTTGTAGCTGCATTTATAACCCAGAACTACCCGGAATACACATCCTATTAATCCCTAAGCTGTGGCCTCCTTAACTTCCTTGTCCTCCTCAGTAGAATGCAAACCAAGATTTTCCTCGACTTTCTTCCATTCATTCAATAAATCAGGAGGGAACTTTTTCTTCATTGTTCGAATCAATCCTTTTGCTTCCTTCATCTTCTTCTTCTCCGCCAACCCCTCCGCCAAATATTTCAATGTATTAAAATCCGGAATCCTATGCACCCTAACACTCTCCTTAAATAACCTATACCCTTTCTCATGTTCTCCATTCTTACACAAGTGAAAAACCAAAGTTCTAAATGTTGCTGCATTTGCTTTACACCCATATCCCTCCAGCCTCTCATAAACCTTCTTCGCATCCTCCATCATCCCAGTCATGCAATAACTAGTGATCAAATAATTATAACTGATCGTATCGGGTTTTAACGCAGAATTCTCCATGTCCTCAATCAACTCCTTCACTCTCTCCGGTCCCTGTTTCATAGCATTGCTAATCTTCACATTATACACTGCAGCATCCAACTCACACCCTCTTCTGACCATTGCATGCCAAAATCTCTCCGCCTCCTCATTCTTTCCCTTCGAATACAAACAATTCAAAACTGTTGTATAAACAACGGTCGTAACTTCGACTCCTTTCTTTTCCATTTCCCTCAGTACCTCATTCGCCTTATCTGGTTTCCCATCCTCACAATAAGACTTGACTAGAATCCCATACGAGACCTTATCAGGCAAGACCCTATATTTCTCACTAATTTCATCAAACAGCACTGGGACTTTATTATAAAGTCTGGATTGAATGCAAGCAGATAATAAAGCATTAAAAGAAATAGAAGATCGAGGGGTACCCAATTGGTCCATTTGGTGATAAGTTTTCATGGCCTGATCAAACATTCCAGCAACACCGTACGATCTAATTAATGAGGAAAGGAAGGGTTCTTGTTTGATTTTGGGGTCCGTTTTGCGGGATTCTATTAAGGACTCGATGTCGGTGAAACGGTGGGATTTGGCGAGACGGCGGACGGTGAGGTCTTGAGCATAGCGAGAAGCCGCAGGGGAGGAGTCGTTATTAGAAGCAGCGGAGTAGATGGCTAGTGCTTTGTCTGGGTCGTGTTCAGTGCGGAGTTTTGATTTGGCTTTGGAGATGGAGATGGAGATTTTCTGGGTGGTGGTGATGTTGGTGGAGAAGTGGCGGAGAGTGGACGCCATTCTGGGAGTTAATTGAAAAGGGGGGAATGCGTCAGTGGAGGGGGAAGGTGGATGGGTTTTTAGGGTTTAGGGGAGGTTGAAATGAGAAACGGTTTTATGGAATTCGCATTTCCTTCCAAATTATGAAATGATTTTAGTTAAAAAACACGTCATTTTTATTTTTTATTTTTCTTTTGTTAATATAGGTTGAGAAGACTCGAATCTTGTTCCATGTAAAATCATATCGATTATCCGTTTGTTTTCGACGGTAACAGTTAATGATAGGATGTTAAATGGTTTTAGAAAAACCCCACTTATTTAAATATCATTGTGCTATAAATCCATGATAAAAGACGACATTATACTCATTTATTTTATTAGACCGTCAATGAGACTTTGCTCCGGCTTGCAGTAAAATTTAATTTGCCATGGGATTACCGAAAAAGGGCTACGTTTTGTGAGAAGGCAGAATTGCAGCACCCGATTGTCTGCACAAGAGACATTACGATGCAGAGGGGCATGTTTGCCGCCAAATGCTCTCCATCGTTAACTCGCTTTGACATATTTCTTACAGCAGATCTCATTCTAATGTAGCGATCAAAATCATTACTGGCCTTCCTCTGACACGAGGTAAGCGACCAATAACCAGAAAAATAGTTAATTTGAGCTTTAGTTCAGTTTTTGACTGTCATCTGTTTATGGATTATGGATTCCAACAAGGCATTCAACGAAACAGCAAAAGCCATAAAGTAGACTTCTAAGCTATATATACATATATCATTAAAAGCATAGAACAAACAGCATTCTAATCATGATGGCCTGATAACAACGCATCACAGAATGCAAAACTGTGGTGGAAGCCTGTAGAACTAATTAGTCATCATATTCTCCCTGGGAGAACTTGTTCTCTGGATAAAAGACAGCCACAACTTGATTTCCGTCAAATTTCCTCCCATTCATCCCCGCTCGAGCTTTTGAAGAACCTTCAGTGTCTGCATACTCCAAGAACACCTGAAAATAATCCAAGATTTTAGTCAGCTAATATGTCCTCAAAAAAAAAATGTCCCCTTTCTAAGGCATGAAGGGCAGATGAAACAGATCTGTAACACATACTGACCTTCCCAACTCCTGGTGCATTTTCACCGTTTGGTCTTGGGCGCGGGATCACAACATTAACCAGTTGACCTGCATATAAAATGTGAAAACATGCAATCCAAAGTTTTGAAAACAATTATCTTTTTATCAAAAAGCTGAAACCAATCTCAAGTAAATATAAATTGGGGGTTATGAAGTCTTCTGTCTGTGTATGTTAGGCTTGATTCTTTATAGCAGAATGTGGGACTAGAAAAGGCTGTAAAACAGACATATAACACAGAAAATAAAGAAAAATCAATTACCATGTAGGAAGATTCACAGCAGAAAGATCTAGAAATAAAATAAATAGCCAGTTGAAAGATTTTACCAAATTTCCCAGCTTCCGTTCTCATGTCTTCCAAAATGTCTTCATACTCGTCATCATCCTTAAGCTCATCTCCAGTAACTACTTGAGTTAGGCATACAACTTTTGTGGACACAGGCTGTGGCTGTAACATAAGCCTCTGGAAAAAAAAGAATTTGGGGGGGGGAAGGAAAACAGTTTCAGTGAAACTAACCCACACACAATAATCTGTCTGTGGAGAACAAACAAGACAAATAACAAAATAAAGGCCATGTGGTTGAGGATAATTAGCATAAGTCGGTACAGAATAATTTTTAATATATAAAAATGGAACAACATTTACCTGCAATGCAATCTGCTGCTGGGCATGCAATAGCACATTCTCTTGCTCAGGTTTTGGTTGGTTGGTGCCCTGGTTGGCACGCCTAACAGTGAGAGTTTTATCACCCATTTTAATTCCATTCAGAGCAGCACAGGCTATGTCTGTCACTGAAAGATCTTGGTAAACACAAAATGCATAGCCTTTTGAGTTCCCAGTCTCTCTGTCTTTTACAAGATCAAAACCACGGAGAGCTCCAAAAGACTCCAACAACTCCCTGATCTGTGATTCTGTAAAGTAATACGGAAGTCCACCCACAAAAATGCGGTCTGGACCCTCGAGTCCACCAGCCGAACCCGGAGCAAGGCCTACTGCAGATAGATTAAGATTGGGATTGGGTTGGCTTGGACCAAGTGTTGCAGCCAGAGATGGATTATAGTCACTAGGTCTCCTCACCTTAACAGGTGCTCCCTTTGAAAATAAAGTATTGCAAATAAATAGCTCAGACAGATCAGTAACATGTAAATGCAGATATCAAACATACCACAACCAAACAAAAGGATACACCATAACAATATTACCTCAAAAATAATCCCATCCAAAGCCATTGCATTACTGGCCTCCTCAACAGATCTCATCTCCACAAATGCAAACTTCTTTTCATGGTTTATATAAACATTAACAACAGCATCCCCTTACCAAAACAAAACAGGGAAATATTTAGTGACAATGAAAAGGAGGCAGGTATTCTAATTATGTGCATCAGCAAAACAAAATTGAAAAGAAAATGCACACCTGGGCCTGCAGTGTTCCCTCCAATTGCAGCCATAACCTGGCTAAAAAAGGTAGCCACAGACTGCAGTACAGGATAAGGGATTAGTATTTAAACAAGGTTGTATAAATATGGGAACAAAATAGAAGCCACACAAACACCTGTTCATTGGCTGTAGGTGGAAGCCCTCCAACATATACCCGCCGAGCATGCCTAGTAGCCTGAGATCATAAAATAAAACATATAATTAACCCAAAAATAATGACAAAAAGAGCGTGAAAAAAACTGTATCTATGCAAACCTGCCAACCTGTTGAGTCATAGCCTGAACTGGCATAACAGGGAGAGCACCAAACTGCTGCAAATGAACAATGAAATGAATTCAATGCAAATGAGAAGACAGAAACAAATACAAGTTGCACATAGAGTGACACATACCTGACCAGTCCCTAATGGAAACATGTTGGGAAACATTCCAGGAATGGGAGTAGTAGTCCCAGTAATCTGGCCTGCAAAGTTATTAAACTGTAATTAGTAAGCAATCATAAAGCAATCCTTACTCTAATGCAGTTGGGGTACCAAAATCAAGTCCTGCATCATTCTCTAATAGAACCTCTAACTCCTAACATTTGACAATAAATTTATCAAAAGAGATGAAAGTATACATCATATTCAAGTTCTTGAGGATATATTTGCTAGACTAACAGGCAGTAGTTGCTGGTTTATGACAAAAGAGAACCATCAACCGATGCATTGTTTCCTTCTTGTACATAAAAGCAACAGAAGTCTGCTCATGCCCATTGCCAGCACAGGGGGGCAAGTAGCCCAACATTGCCTTCTTAGAACAAAAGATAAGACACAAAACAAACAAACAAACACCAAACACAAGAAAAAACCAAAAACTCCCTCAGTTCCAGAATTGTTTCACCAAGCAAACAGTTATAATCACAAAAGTACAGCCCATTCAGAGACCATGGCTTTAAGAAGCTAGGTTTACAAAGTAAGAGAACAAAATACTGCTTGCCAAAATGATATCATGTAATTTGATACAGACTTTCCACACTATATCAAACAAAAACAAAGACAGTAGTAGTTAAGAGAATATGTCTATGAGGGTACATGTACCTGCAGCGGCTGCTGCAGCAGCTACAGCGGCAGCAGCATTAGGCAACATTGCAGAAGATGGAGGAGCCATATCAAAACCGCTGATCCTTTTGCTGTAGTAAATAAATATTGCATGCCAAACAGGCGTTCATAAATTAGTTAATGGAAGAGCAGAATATATGCCAGTATAGACAGGCATTTTGTGCACCATAACATACCTCTTAGAGCGTGATCGTGAGCGTGACCTTGATCTGTGCTCAGATCTACCTTTTGAACGAGATCGTGACAAGCGTCTATGTCTGTCTTCACTGTCTCTATCATAATCTCTCCGCCTGTTAATAGAACCAATAAATAAGTAATCCAGCACTTACCACAATAATAATGGAACAATATACACAAGACAATACTTAAAACTCAGCCCTCAAAATATAGTCATATTTTATACCTGTCATAATCTCGGCTTCGGTAGTAATCATCATCATCCCTATCTCGGCCCCGATCCCTTCTTTCACTGTGATCTCTATGTTGATCACGATGACGATCACTATCCTTGTCTCGGTCCCTTTCCCTATCCCTGCCCCTGCCCCTGCTTTTCTCCCTATCCTTGTCTCGGTCCCTTTCCCTATCCCTATCCCTGCCCCTGCTTTTCTCCCTATCCTTGTCTCGGTCTCTTTTCCTGTCCCTGTCACTATCTCTGCTTCTCTCTTTCTCCCTGCCTTTTGAAGACTCCCTCTCGTAGTCACGAGACCCATGCTGAAATTCATGCATTGTAACAGCAAGATTCAAATAAAGAAAAAAAGAAAAGAAAAGCGTTACACAATACCACCCAAAAACAAAAACCCTTAACAGAGTGGCTATCTACATCAAGAATCAAAATACAAGACTAACAGAGACTTAAAATCTCTAAATTCAAGCACTGCACAAAGCTAGACGTGTCAAAATGAAGACTTAAACAAAATTAGAACTTAACAAAAGAAGCATCCGCCAGTGTATTCAGCAAGGGCAAACACCAAATCCATAACTACTGGGATAGACCAACAATATTCACAGTTAATTCGACTAAATAATCGTAGGGGATGACCAAAAAGGCGAACAGAAACTAATTCATGTTATTTCCAAGGCTCCTTATTTCTTCCAATTAAAACCCTAAATCAGTAAATGCAGCAGCTACAAGCTTTCCCTCAATAGTAAAATCCAAGGCAATAACATCACATAGCTCATATTCTCAAACAAAAACAAACATAAACCCTAAGTAAATTCCGTTCTTTAGCAGTTTTTCAGTCTAATCGAATTGATTTGAATCTGTTTATACCTGAGACTTGGAATCGCTGTGATCATCGCCGCCGCGTGGCGGAGGAGAGGAATCGGCACCGTAGCTGTTGTTTTCGAAAACAGCTCCGCCGTTACCTTCGTATCTCTCAGCTTCGTAATCAGTCATGGTGTTGTATATTTTCGATTTTTGATGATTTAGCTGCAAAAGTGAAATTGAAGAAGAAATCTCGGGCTTGAAATTGGGTTTTCTTGCTGTATTTATACGGCAGAGTGAAATAGCGTTCGGGTTGCGGTAGCAGTGTTTCAAATATATTTTTTAATTATAAATATATTAAAAGAAATTATTTTTATTTTTTCAAATTTATTTTATAATAAAATATTAAAAAATTAATTTCAAAAATAGTTTTTACTGTAAAAACTTACTTATACAAGAGAGAAGTGTTTTTATTTTTTTCATTCAAAAAGTATCTTAAAAAAATTAATTTTTTTCAAATATTTTTTTATAATTTTATATTTTTTTAATATATTAATACTAAAAATAAATTTTAAAAATAAATTAAATATTATTCTAATATATTTTTCATTAAAAAATACTTTTAAAAAATAACAAATACTACCATCACAGCAATATTAAACATCACAACAATAAAACTGCCTCTGTTGGGGTATAGTTTACAATCACAAGCATCGGAAATTCATGCCTGTTGTTTTCTTTATTGTCATCCCTACGAAAAATGATTTGGGTTGTGTTTTTTATTTTGAGAAATTATTAGGAATATGAAAATTGCACTTCTCTCTTATATAAAATATGAATTTTTTAATGAAAAATAATAATATTGGTAAGATTTTTCTTTATAACAAAAAAGATATAATAATAATAGTAATGATAATGATTGTGATCGTAATGATACTGTGACCGTAATGATATCGTGAGTAGCTAAGAGAGTAATGAATTGGTATGTGGCATTTTCTTTTACAATCAATTAAGAATTGAGTAGTCTCTAATATACTTTACTTCACTAATCATTTGTTTTGATATGAAATTGCAGAAATTTTATTTTCTCGAAAGATATAACATGTGGTGTAATTAAGCTGCAAAACATTCAGTCGTAAAACAAATTCTTCAATTTGTTTGGTAAATAAGAAGATCTTAATTAGAATTCAAAGGAAAATTGGGAAGCAAGAAAACGTGAAGGATTTGAGAGGATTATAAATGTCAAGAACTATTTTAAAAATAATCTACAATCCTTGAAAATTCAAAAATATTTAGGAAAAATAAAGAATTTTTTATTTTAAAAAAGCATTTTTTGGATAGCCTTTAGACCTCGTATCTCCGAAGATTCAATATTCAGACCAAAACTTATATTTAATTTTGTCATAAAAATAATTTGATTTATCCAAATTGGACTTAAAGTTGTTTAACATATATATTTCACAAAGTCATTACACAACTCAAATCCCGGTAATAAAACGGGCCATCAATCAATTGGCTATATAAACAAAAAAATTATTGACTAATATTTTTTTCGTTTAAAAAAACAAAAGTGTCAGGCTATTCATTTTCCAATTTTCTAAGACCATAGTTGTTAACTAAGCATGGCTTAACTTCCTGGTGGAAATAGTTTCATAGAGGTCTTAAAAGTTCCTTTGATGGATCAAGATGTTCAACCGCATGTTTTAATATTAGCGATTGCCTTTATCAATGTATTAGGGTTTTTTACAAGACATTGAAGAGGCCACCTGAGCTCTATAAGATTATGATTAGCATGCAAGCATAGACTGATCTTTTTATTTTTCACATATTTATCAAGATTAAGTCATTTTAGATTGCATCGTCAGCATGATGATTCCTTCAAAAACAAGTGTCACCATGATTAGTACTTAAAAGTGTATTTTTATCAAGGTTTTATATTATTATTTTGCACTTGAAGTATCAATAACTCCTTAACTAAAGCATGTTTTATAATAA